ACAAAGATATGCTCAACATACGATGAGTTCACCCATCTCTACAGCGTACGCCTGAAGCCTTGAAGCAATCACCGACCTTTCTTTGCGCCTTATTCACTTGCACCTTCAGAGGTTAGCCGTCGCTTGCAAGCGCATGACAGGCGCGCAGTACAGTTCAAATAATCAATAAGGCACAGGACGCCACGGCTCGAAACTCGACTGCTGCAAGTGAAGCCCCAACACTGGGTTGCCGGATCCTTTGCTCGGAATTGCGTCGGCAGAAGTTCCCGCTGATGCAGTCGGCCTGGTCTCCGGAGCGGCTCTGAGTATCTATGCTTGCGCCTATGTAAGGATGTTTGGATGCATGCATGTTTGTCAATGTGTGTCTGATGTTTTGTTTTTAAGCACACGTGGATGTATGTACGTACAGGGATACAACACAATGAGAGAGAGAGCGAGAGAGAGAGAGAGAGAGAGAGAGAGAGAGAGAGAGAGAGAGAGCGAGAGAGAGAGAGAGGGAGGGAGGAAGGTGTGCGCATGCAATGTGACGGTGCGTAGATGCATGTATAGCACCTGTGCGTCAATCTTTCTTTGACCAAGTACTTTTTGTGTATCATAATGAGGTGTATGTGTGTTTGAGTATACATACATATCTATGTCTGAAGGCCAGTCTGTCTGTATGCATGTATGTATGTATGTTTGTACGCATGTGTGCAGTCCGCGGCGAGCCTGAGGTTTAGGCAGATATGTACATGTATATGATCCATATGTATAGTTTTAGATAAATGCCTACCTACCCAACCACCGACCGGACCCACCTACCTCGTTGCCTGGGTATGTGTGTATGTATATACATACATATGTACGTACGCACATACAGTCCTGTTGCAGACTGCTTAGCTGGCTTTTCCCTTTGAATGCAGACTTGACTGCACAGAGTGCCTGTCTTTCTGCTGCGAGGGCATTCCAGCCCCTGCCCCTGACTGGTGACAAACCCCACGGGTGGCATAGCTGCTGCCCTTGCTTTTGCAATCGAACTAGAGCGAATTTTCAACAACTCTGCGACGGCGGGGCCTCTGGTGTGACACCGAGGACTGGGCCGAGGCAGGCTATTGTCTTTCGGACTGTACCGTTGGGTGGCCACCTAGCACAGAGGAGTTATGGCGGCAAGTGCTGAACACAGTGTCCAAGGTTCACTGAGGGCAGGGCGCGAGCGTAGGCCTAACACTCGCACAGGCTGTTCTTGCGGTTTAGTACCAGTGGTGCGGTGTCGCCCGCTCCGTCTGCTGGCTTTGCTAGGGATCACCTCGGGAACAGTTCTAATCAAAATTGAACGCTGTCAGATGCGAAACCTAAGGTGCCGACTCGGCAATCGGGTTTCGGCAGCTTTTGCTGCCAGTGCATCGGTTCGATCTATACTGCAACATGCAAGCTGTTTGTGCAGATAGTGCTCCGATTTCTCGGTTTGAGTCGCAACAAGAACTATTTCGACTTTGCTAGTCATCGGAGATGGGATTCCAAAGACTCGTGCTGAGATTTGAAGGGCCTTCTGCTTTTCAAGTGACATTTATCTTCTGTGGATGTTTCACGATTTCAACGCCTGAGAGCTCGCTTCTGGGACGGCGGGGCCACTGGTGTGACACCAAAGGACTCAAATACCCAGGGCTGGGCACGAACTTCGCTTTCGGACTTGTGCTGGTTCTGGGTGCCGCGCATATGCATGCCTCCTCACCAAAAGCCGAGACGCCTCAACTACTGGTAGCCGGCACCCGAACACCCAGCATGTCGGACAAGCCGAGCGCCTGGCACATGTGCCTGTGCCGATGAGCGGCGCCACCATCATTCTGCTCGCATATGTTGAATACAGTAAGGCTCACTGAGGGCAGGGTGCGAGTGTTAGCCTGACCTATTCTGTCTGTTTGGTGATCGTGGCACGATGTCGCCTGCTCAGGTCGGCTGGCTGTGCTTGTCTGAGGATCAACGTCGTCAGATAATTAGGCTTCAGGTCACAGGAGAGCCGAAATCGGCAAGAAGGATGGATCTGAGAGTTTCAGAAGATGAGGGTACTCCAGCATCGATCCCAAACAGTAGCTTCCAACAGATATGTTGCCGTAAAGAGGGGACCCCCCAGCTTAAGACACTGACCACCCATGTCGACCTGGACTGAATTTCAGACGTCTGCTCACCGATCTCTCGGTTTCACTTGCAAGAATATGGGTGTTTCCGAAAAATAGGGGTTGCCTTATTTGGGGTCCTTATAATAAGGATCCTACTATTGAGGGTGCTATATTAGGGTCCCCTATTCTTGGAAACTCCCATATCATAAGGACTAAAGTGGCTAAAGAGCGGATTTGGTTTAGGGTCTGGGGTGAAGCCTGTGAAGCCGGAGTTCTGTGTGAGCTGAGACTTACACTTTCGGAGCCTTCTGCTGTCGAGGGAATTCCGGCTCCATCCCGTGGTACTATGCGGGAGGCTGCAACTTTCCAGCAGAAGCGACGATTTTTTAAAATCTTAGAGCCCGAGGGTTTAAGGCCATCGGCTCGACGAGGCAACTATCGACTGCCAACTTTGCAGCCTTCGGGCTGGAGAGGATTTCCAGATGCAAAGAAGCCCAGCGCCAGAGAAGCAGCTTTCCAGCCCGCACGCACTCCTCTTTCTGGATATCCCGAGTGCCTGGCAGATGCATCTGCCTCCCAACGAGGGCCCCAACAAACCACCGTGTTGTAATGGTCGAGAAATCCGCAGAGGGCTTGCAGGGGTCTGGGGCACTGCGGGGCACTTTGCAGTGTGCTCTGCACTCCCTTAGGTTATGGGATACTACCCATAGGCCCCATTGTAGTTCCTTTTTGGGGCTCATGCTTAAAATCCTATAAGGTAATCCCCAAAAGGAACTACTATGGGGGCCTATGGGTATAGTACATTACAGGAGTTTCCCAGTACTGTCTGACAGTCTCGGCTTTCTCAAGCTCTCATGGGGCCCTGTAGCTTCAGAAACGGCTAGGACCAGGACCAGGAGGGTTACACATGGGATGGACGAGGTTTATATAGGATTTGCCCGTAGGCTCCATAGTAGTTCCTTGTTGGGATTATCTTATATATGGAGCCTACAGGCTATCACAACTGGCACTAGCTGCCGACGTGAAACTATGGGCAGAACGTCTGCCAGGTCGCAGATGATGATTTCCGGCACCCCATCTGCAACGGCACACTGACGAGCAACCAGGCACACCGGGTTCGTTCCACACAGAGGTACACTGAAGGCACTGTGCTGCCTGAAGACGCTGTCAGTGCTTGCGTTGTAGAGTCCACAAGGCATGAGAGCTCGTGGGTCTTGTGAGTACTGTAGGAACCTGAAGACAGAATTGGCCCTGAACCACGCAAACCCACAGATACTCTGAACTCCAAACCTCTAGATCCGAGATCCCACAACACCACGTTACGAAAGTTCGCGCAGAACCGTTCCGTCCGCATGCATGTATGTATGCACGTATCATACAGGTATGTATGTGTATATATACATATATATATATATATATACACATGTAAATATATACTGCCTTACAACAGCCGCCCTAAACAGCCCCAGGATGAGGGCCTGGAGGCCAAGAGGCTGGTCTTCAGCAGTCCGGGCCCGAGGAGGGGTCTTCTTTGTGGCTGAGAGGTCTGGCGTTTCGAGGTTTGAATAATTATTCGCACTATCATTACTATAATTGTTATTACTATGGTTATCACTATCATTTCTATTATCGTTATTACTATGGTTAGTACTATTGTTACTATTATTATTGTTATTACTATGATTACTATGGCTATTGGTATTACTACTATTCTTAAGGCTTTAGACGAGTGTTGGGAAGTTTCTAGATTACTTAGGAGTTCATGGTTGAGCGTGAAGGGTCGGTTGTGGAGCCATCGTCATGGAACTGCATTCGCGTTTGATGTTGCTGCCGCTGCTGCTCCTGCCTATGCTTCCGTCTTGGCAAAAGAACTACAACAATGGCGGCTACCACCAGCACTATGTCGACGAGGACGGCGACTGCGATTCCGTTTCGCCTGCCCCTGCCACCACCGGTGCCGGCAGTAGTTGGAGCCAGTCGCCAGAAGAAGACTGTCTGCGGCGAGGTCATGATGCCGACGCCGGCTGTGATCATGGTGATGCTTGTGAGGATTTAACGATAACGGTTGGTGTTGATGTTTGTTGTTGAAGAGAGGTATGCGATGATGGCGATCAGAAGCGATGGTGATAGCGGTAGTTTCGGCAAAGTTGCCGGTTCCGTTGATGGCGTTCAGTTGCTAAATGCAGGTATTTCCAAGATGCTCCAGTTACCACTCTTGATGCTGTTGATGTTATTGCTGCCGCTGCAGCTGCCGCTGCCACCGCTGCAGTGTTTGTGAATAAGTGCTGGTTCAGGATCTCGATCGGTAGCTTGGAAAGCTGGCACGGGGCAGTCAGACATCTTGCATCAGGCTGGGACAAGAAGCATCTGGCGAAGACGGTCCTGCCTGATGAGGCCCGTCCCCCGGAATGATCTCCTTCCACGCGAGTTCGTGCTTCCTCCGAGGCAGCGCAACAGAAGGGCCTTGTCACATCATATGAGATTCCCAAAGCCTAACTCGTTTTCTAGGCGCTGCCCAGCCTGCCAGATTTTCGGAATCCTCCTCAGCGATGGCAGCATAGGTGTAGCGTCTCGGTACTGTATTGACTACGAAGATCAAGCACCCAGTGTTGTTTTCGGCCTCGGTGCAATACTTTTTCGGAACTACGGGTCTTGCTGGTGGGATTGTGACATTCGTCTTTCCAGTGTGTTGCCAAACTCCCTGCAGGGTACGAACGATGATCAGCATGCAACGTATACCTTTGCAGCATGAGGGCGTATGACGGGCATAGGGCACAGAAAACCCCAAATCCCAAACAATGAAGTCGTTTGACCCAAGTTCCTCGCAAACCCTAAACCCCAAGCTCCAATCCGCCACAGCAGGTTCATTTCTTTGCAGACCACCTACCAGCATACCACCGTCACATGCGAGGCCTGCTTCTCGTGCAAGCTGTTCAGCTTGCATGTATCTATCTCTCGGGTGGACACCAGAAAGGACTCTGACCTTAAACTCCTCTACAGCACCCTAGCAGTCTCATAGCCCTCATCAAAGCACAGTTTGAAAGCCCAAGCCCTCAAACAAAGCCCCCAAGGAACATGACGGCCAAAAACCTCAAACCCTCACAACAAGCATTCCTCAATCAGGCTGCTAGGTACTGCCTTCGAAGTGTTTGCTCCCCGGTTTGAGGTAGTTGAAGGTGTAGGCTTTGGGCTGTGATAGGAAGTGCTTCAACTCCAAATGCCTAAGCCCGCCCTGAACGAAGCAGACAGCCGAACTCTACACGGAAGGGACAGCCCAAACTACGAATGCCGAGACAAACCCCAGCCAGGAACTTTACAGGATTTTGGGTAGAGGATATTCCGGATTCGGGCTTTGGCCAAGGTATTGTCACTTAACGTAGAAGCTTGAATTCCTCAAGAGAGCTATTCGTCTACTAGCTAGAACCCTGCTCCAATCGTAATGGTAAGCCCTAAACCCTTATATAACCCCTCCGACATGGACACAATGCTAGGGCTGCCTGCGTTGACCTTGCCGCTCCCATCCTGGCCACGAAGCTAACTTCGATGACATATCTTGAGACATCGCATTGAGATGATGATGACAACGAAGACCGAAAGCAACACGGATGGCTGCCTCCAAGACTTCTTCGAAAGCTACACAGCTACACTCTTGCGGCCGCACTTGCCGCCACGGCATGCCAAACATCTCGTACACGGCGTGAATAGCAGTACAACTTGCAGCATCGGATGCTTTGGACCAGATCTCCGCTGTCATGCAGCTTTGGCTTACACAGCTTCCGGAGGCGAATATCCCCCTTGACGCCGCACACACTTCGGCCCAGAAAGCTTTACCTGCGAGAGCCTGCATGGCTCCCTGCACACATAATCAGCTAAGGCACGCTATCTCCCCCTCCCGCCGTTCCGGTGCATGTAACCCGTTTGTGTGTTCGATCGGGCACAAGATGTCAGCCTTAGACAAAGAGCGGGCGCGTGCTTCCTTCGTGCCGGCCCCAATCGTTTCCAGAGTTTCGTGAAAGTTAGGCTGCAGAAGGAGCCTGCAAACCCCGGTGTGCATCAGTTAAATAATGTGCCAAGACACGCTGAGGACCCCCGCGAGCTCACCTACGTGCTGGAGGGCGGCAAGGTGCAAGCATTCAGCGCTGGAAACATGCATTGGATTTCTGCTCTGCCGGCAGTGACAGTGAGAGGATTCTCAACAAGTTACCCTTGGCATAGAGTCGTAAAGGAGCTGCCTGGTTTTGCACCCCAAGCTAACACCCAGTGTGGCACGGAAGGAGAACACCTTGCGGCGGGAGAAGGTGGAAGCCCTGGTCGAGGCAGCACTGCCCTGAGAGTGTTGCGACAGGAAGGGGAAGTCTTACTGTTGTGATTTGCCTCGATGCACCAACCGGAATCTAGAATTACGGTTTGTGCCGTGCCACGGTTGCTCAATTTCTTGCTTGTATGCCGCATGCAGACGACACAAATTCTCGGCTGAGGACCCGGTCTTCGACAATTCGGATGTGCATCTTGCCAGATAGGCGGCTTCTTTTCAGATTTTCGGAAGGGAAAGGCGGGGAAAGGGACTCGTAGGGTCGTAGGCTTGGGGAGTGGAGGAGCCCCCGCCAAGCACATGCAAGAGCAAACTTAAGGGCTTAAGGAATGGGATCCTCATCCAGGCGATCAGACTACTGCTGCGCTTTGAAACGGATACGACAGGCTCCAACGTCAGAGAAAGATCCTGAACATAAGCGCCCCCCCCCCCACGTAGGACGATTAATTTCACCTAATTATGAAGTGCTGATGGTTGACAGGAAGCGAGAGGTCATACCCGAGCTTGACCAACCAACTTCAATCTTCGGCCTAGAGCTCTTCCGAGGGGTAGCAGTCTACGACACTTGCCTCCCCGAGTCAACGAAAGACAGGAACAAGGCGGTCGAGGTGTAAAACCTTAGCGTCTTAACCCTGGGTTCAATCCTCAAAGGCACTGTTTTGCTCACGCTGAGCAGCAACATAATGGAATCCTAGCAGCATCAATGAGGGCATGCAGCGAAGCAACACTGGAGACAATCATGTACAACAGGACAACGTCGCAGCAATGCAAGGGTGTTAATGTGTTGACAGCGAGGACGACTGCAACCTGCGCTGCTCGTGGTCATAACTTGAACGCAATGCAGTCCGAGGTACTCCTTGAGCCGACCTGAGAGATATCGCCGGGCCATGCAGAAGCAACGAAGCTTGGCCAGATCCAGTGGCTCGATCCTGTGCAAGCCCGAACTACTCGAAGGGGTATGTTGTCCACTACCTCTACCTTCGCACAATGGGGTCAAACCTCAGCCAGGAAGCTTGAGGAGTTCCAGACTTGCAGAGTCGTGCTTCAGAAACAGCTGCCCGCGGTTGCGAAGAAAATGTCGACGGGGGACGACGAGGATCATGATGATTATGGTAGTGCTGATGATAATCGTTTCCTACCCTCCGTGGCTGTTTGCTGACCCAGAACATGGCGTAGGTAAACACGGCCTTCGTCCGGGCATGTTGATTTTTAGCAGCTCTCAGGAATAGTATGGGTACTGTAGTTGTTGCGGATTCGTAGTTCCGGACTTCGGAGCATGCGAGGTCGGCTCCTCGAACTCCACTCGCAGGGCCTGGACCCCACAGACCTCCGACATGCCGTGCACGACGATCTGGGCACCGACCTCCAGTGCCCGGGCTAATATCGGGGACTAAATAATTAGCAATACCATTGTGAAGGTTCCTTATCATAATTACAGTATATTGGGCCCCCAAAACCCTATTCTAATTATTAAGGCCCCTATATTAAAGCCTTGGGAAATCTTGGGAACTTTCAGGCTTGCTCTCGAGTGCTCGTGCCAAGGTCACATAAGGGGTTCCGCTCCTGAAGACATTGCCGAGGTGATTTTTGGCTGCGAGCCTGCATGAAAAGCTTTGAGATTGTTAACTAGAGGACATCTGATACATCAGATGTCCATCGGATCGGCCGTGTTTCTGCGATCTGAGGACCTTGATGTTCATTCCCAACATCAGGGCAACTTTCAGTGACGAGCAGCGGGCGCACTGGCTGCCGCGGGCGGAAGCCTGGGAGGTCGTTGGTTGCTACGCCGGGGCCCCGGAAACCTTGAGCCAGAGCTCCGGTGCACTTGCGTTTTCAGTAAAATTATTGTAAATGTCTAAACCTTCACTGCAAGACTACTGTAGCAGTCATCCTTGGCTATGGTAAGGTTTCATCGCGGAGCATTTGGGGCCCTCGTTCGGCCCTCCCTCCAGCCGAGGCTCAGACCGAACTGGGCCATGGCTCCAACGTGCGCGGCCTGGAGACGACCGCCACCTATCTTGAGGCCCTTTGAGAACTCCGGTAACATATTGTAGGGGCCTTATAAATACCAATGCTATTTTTGGGGGTTCCTTATGGTAATTATAGCAAAATGGGCCCCAAAACCCTATTCTAATTGTTAAGGCCGCTATAGTACATGCAAAAATCACAAGAGTCATCGCCGCCGCCATCATCATCTCGTCATCGCCACGATGATCCTCCACACAACAATCTCGATGATCATCATCCGCACCGGAGTCGAAATCACTAGGATGAGAGCAGCACAGTTCTCTTGGGAAAATATGATGATACCTTGCATACGCGTGAGTATCAGGGGCCGTGGTATTGGTGCCATGGCTGTCAGGCGATCTCAGCAGTTGCGATGGCAATGCCGACGACCGCTTTGGTTTTATAGCGGTACGCGTATTCGACACTCAGTGGTTCTTGCTTGTCCTTGCTGCCATGGTAAAACTGGTAGTGTGCATGGTCGTTTCTATTCGAGGTGGGTTTATATCTTTCTTCTAATGCGAATTGGGGTTGTAGTGGGGAAGCTGAAGGATCGATGGCGCGCTGAGAGGTCGAGATTGAAGCTCGTGAGCACAATTTGTTGTCCGGGTGGACCTTTTGCTTGTGGTCTAGTGCGCTTTCGTGTGCATCGTGGAAAACAACCACAGCTCCCCAGAATCTGCACTCATCGAGCTGCAGATAGCTGCAGTCAGTGAGTAGTTCGAAAATTTCTCACGAAGCTCCGGCCGCACGCGTCTGCCGGTGACACAGGAAACGGACGAGATCGAGATCCACAGTCCATCTCTGACGAGACGCTCGGCAAGGGGTGCTCAGACTGAGCCGCAGGCCCCGGACAGAGTCAATAGAGCGAAACCAGGGAGATTAACTCCCCAAGACTTTTCAAAAGTAGTGGCAGGTAGAGTCTGTGAAGCTCCATACCAGCCCCAAGGCACCAAGTGGTGGCCCGGTGCCCTTGGCAGGACGGGCCCGTGCATACCTCACATGCGCTTCTGCTGCTGCAAGGTGTTGTGGTGAAAATTCACGCCACTACCACCCGTATCATCATCAACAACAACAGCATCAGAATCAATACGGCGAAGTTTTAAAAATACGTGGATTGCGGTCGGACCGCCAAAGCCATCCAGGTAGCCTGAAAGTTTAAACAGAACTTGTCCGCATGTTTAGAAACCGCAGGTTGGCCATTCTAAATAGACTTGGCGGCCCGGGCCGGACGGCCACGGAGGTAGTAATAAAACATGGTTCGATATTTACAATACACATCTTTAAAAAGTCCTCACCGTATCATCACCACAGGCATCAACAGCATCAAACTCGTCGCCCTGACCATCCTTACAAGTATTGCTTTTATCAGCATGACGACATTCATCACTTTCCTGGTGCTCAGGCATAAAGGAGGTTCGGTTCAGCACGCTTCGACCCGGGCGTTCAAAGGGGCAGTCGCAGCTTCACAGGAAGCATTCGGGGGAGAGTCAGTGGGGGAAGAGCTTTTGGAGCTCCCGGTTGGGGGCTGCGGAGGCTGAAGTTCTACGAGGTGTTGACTATCGGATATCGTAACAAATCCTAACACTTCGCGGCATCAGGACGGCGAATCACGCTGTCGTCTACGCCCGCCTGATCGTGGCAGGCAGGCACAGACTCGATCTTCTGCCGGCTTGGAGGTTTTGCCCGTACTAGGCTCAGACAGTGTGTTCTAGCTCAGGCGAGGAGAGCCGGTAAGGTCAACGCCTTCACCCTGAAGCTCAAGCTTTCAGTGCTAGGCAGGGCCCTCCTGGCAAGCTACTGATGCAACTCTCCCCCTCATCCATGTACGGGTCGCTCCTGGAACCAAGCGGAGAGCCGTCTAGTGCCATGCACGACGCTGTTGATCAGGCAAAGACCTGGGCATCCACAACTTCATGGCACCTGGGATCAAATTGAGGACCCTTTGGAGGACGGAGGGTTCCTCCCAAAGCCTGTGGAAGCCAAGCACTTCTCAGGTGCAGATCCGAGACTTGCAGACGCATGAGCCACTCCCCGGCGTGCAAGTCGGTGACATTGGGCCGAAGATCGGCTACAATAACCAGGCCCAGCAGCCATTCATGTGCAACATGCGGAAACATGCCAATCGCCGATATTATTGAAGGTGTCATTGACAGAGTCACGTGCCTCAAGCTGGACGACTTCTCAAGATTGCTGATCCTTGGCAGGACAACGGTTTCTGCCGGTTCAGCCACGTGCGCATTCCACGGACCAACATGGCCATGAGGCCCCCTCCATGCAGTCGCATGATGCCGTGGCCGTACCATGTTGAACATGGTTGAATATGACTGACACTTCCGCCATCTTCCGCCCATGTTCGTCCATGCCCCCACTGGTGTCTTCGTGGTTCGTAGGATCATGAGCTTCGAGTATTGCAGTCATGCGCGTCCCAACCCTTCAGTCCGAACACTCCAACTCCAGCTACGGCAGGCATGCGACGCTGGACCGCACGGGTCAGTACTCGTCTAGAAAGGAGCGGCGCGCGGCGGGGGGCCTTAGCGACTGAGAGTCGGATTTCTGGATTGAACCGCATGTCCAATGAAACCCCTGATTCCATAGCTCCTAAACCTAACGCAAAGACGTGGCTTATCCACGTACGTACATTAGATTTTCATATATGTATGCTTATATGAATGCATGCATGCATTCATGCATGCGTACAGTCTATCAATCGATATCGACTGGAGTTTCCTTCGGATGATGCTCTTGCCCAGGCGTCCTATTCCGCCATGACGAAGGCCTCCTACCAGGGGAATCAGCAGACGTTCGCACTGGTGTGACAGTCGCTGGTAAGAAGCAGAGGTGAACACAGTTGACAAATGCGCCGATGAAGCCAGAAATGCAATGGGGTCAATAAAACTACTGCAGCATATTATGCAATGCTCAGGGTCCAAGCCATTGAAGATCAAGAGACGCATTTGGGGGACTATGTATCAGCTCCTAGATCCAACAATTTCTCAAAGTGCACATGAACACAAGGGCGCAACGAAGCAAACACCACTACTTGCTTCTTCAGGCAACACAGGAAGGCAGTAGCAGTCTGTAGCAATACATACTGTCAATGCGGGACAGTGACAAGTAATATGCACATGCCCAAATCCCACACAACAACTCTCAGGAGGGCCCCAGCCTCAAGTGGGCCAGTTACGAAGCATACATGGATATATCGGTGGGGTTACGTGACTAAAAAACACAAGTGGTAGCAGCAACAGCACTCCTAGTAATCGTCTTCCCCGAAATGATTAAGACCGCAACGAACAAAGAAAACCTCACTTCCTCGTAATGGTACGGTCAGGATATGCAACAGGCTTGGTGGTTTCGAAAGATTAAGCTGTGCATCTTGAACCTGTGAATACAGTTCCAAGCTGGAAAAAATCCGGTCAGGTGCGCGTGGAGATTGCCATGGGCAGCGGCCCGGGCCTCTTCCGGCCATGGTCGTTTGGGTTCAGGTCAAGAGCTTTGGGGCTTGGGTTCTGCAATAAGGGGTTTGATTTATCGGGTCGCGTTTTTGAGATCTCGGCTTGCGCTCGGCACAGTGTCGCAAACGAGCTCAAAGAAGAGCGACGAGAGGCGCATCAGTCCTTGGAGCCATCCTGATGTGTTGAGTGTTCTTGCTGCACATTCTAAGGCCACGTTCTCAGCAAGGCCTGCGCCATCGCAATCCGGTACTCTGCTGTGCGGCACCAAGGATTTACAGGCCGGGCAAGGGAAGGGTTCTCAGGATACCAGAGTTCTGGACAAGAGGGCTTGTCACTGCGCCAGGCTCATTCCTAGGCACGGCGACACAAGCAGCAGGTGGTCATAGGTGGTCCCGGCTAAGCCTGTCGAGGCAAGGGTGATGGCTCAGAGATGTGCGTCCTCGACTACACGATGCAGCAGCAACGTTTGCTGCCCTTGCTGGCCACAGCCTATGCTTTCCATTTCGTGCTTCGGACGGCACTAGGCACAGTTTGCTGCCGTTTGCAAGAAGATGTTTGTGCGGCGCATAGGGTGGGTGAGGAGCGTAGGGCAACGCGAAGGGTGTGAGTCCGGGCAGGACCAGGGCTAGGGGTACGCGTAGGTGTAGGGGTAGGGCTCGGAGTAGGAGGAGGAGTAGTAGTAGTGGTTGTTGCTGTCGTTTTGAATCGGCGCTGAGGGTGGTGCAACTATGCAGGAGCTGTCCCATTTCCGACGTGTTTCTTCTGCTTGTTCGAGTCGTTAGGGCAAGGGATTCTGCTGTTGCACTTTGACTTTTGGGTCATCGCATAAAGAGCGCTGCCCTCTGTTTCCTGCGCTAGGAGCTCCTGGCGCGCAGGGACGCCGAGGCGCTCCATGTGGCCTCATCCGGGTTGAAGGCCAGGGATCTCTGACTACTAGTACTAGTACTAGTACTAGTACTAGTAGTAGTACTAGTACTAGTACTAGTACTAGTACTAGTAGTAGTAGTAGTAGTAGTAGTAGTAGTACTACTACTACTACGACTACTACTACCACTGCAGCTACTACTAGTACTACTACAACAACAACAACAACTACTACTACTACCACTACCACTACCGCTACCACTACCACTACCACTACCACTACCACTACCACTACCACTACCACTACCACTACCACTACCACTACCACTACCACTACCACTACCACTACTACTACTACTACTACTACTACTACTACTACTACTACTACTACTACTACTACTACTACTACTACTACTACTACTAGTACTAGTACTAGTACTAGTACTACTACTACCACTCCAACTGCTGCTGCTGCTGCTGCTGCTGCTGCGGCTACTGCTACGGAGCACCGCTACCGCTGCCGCGTAGGATGCCAGAAAGACCATTTCGCCAAAGTAAGGTGCCAAAGTGTAAACCCCGTTTTCGCAGATGAGTATGAGAGCGAGCATGAGGAATAAGAGAACGTCTAGTAGCACTGTAGTTTGCAGCACGACCTTGATCCATGCTTTTCCTGTTTTGAAACATTTGTTAGTGTTCATCTCCGAAGATTGATGCGAGCAAAAGAACAATGAACCACACGAGAGCTTCGCAGGCCCTCTGCAGCCGCATCACAGGAGGTGGGCTGAGATGAGCTTCGGGCATGTCGTATTCGTAGGGCTCTACTTGGATGCTTCTGATGCAGCCCCGCTTGCCCGATACGTTCTTCGTATGTGGAGGGGCCAGCCTCCCAGTTACGTTCTGCTGGCACAGTCTTGTTGCATGCTCCCATCAGATGGCATCGAAACCTGCCGCCGTGCATGTGGCGGACACGGGTATCTCGATGCCTCGGGGCTTCCGCAGATGTTGGGCGCCTCGGCTGTGCAATCGCAATTCATGTAGCCTCGAACCCCACCGCACCTTGACAAGGTACCGTCCTGCAAAATGTTACGGTGGAGGGCGAAAACTTCATGATTGCACAGCAGACGACGAGGGGCCTGCTGCAGCCTGCCTTACAAGCACATGTTCCGAGGGTTGCTTTCCATCTTGCAAGCTGGAAACTACACTTGCATTCCTTGTGGCGGTCTGTTGACCCCTCGTGCTCTTACCCAAGTTTTCGTTGTCAGGGCATGAGAGATGTCTTGATGCGTCGCACTCCTTGCTGTTATTACCGACGTCCTTGCTGTGGCCGCTATGGTCAGGGTGCAACCGAGAAGACTACGACTGCAAGTAGCGACCATGCCTGGTTTTATGTTGTAATTCTTCACGCACCATGATGTTTGTTCGACATCTTCAGGAAACTCGTCTCTTCCGCAGCCCCGTCGACGTTGCCTTTCAATGCGTGGGAAGGCCAGGGACCGACTTGCCAGCTGTCGTTGCTTTTAGTACTCTCCTTTTTACTTGTAGTATCACTCCATCACTTCGACCATTTTCACACAGTGCATCCCTGGTACGGCTACATCGCTACATCAACCTGGATGACGGTGGGTCGAATTTGCTAGGCGTCCCACTGGACTAAGGGAATGATCAGTTTAGAGTCATTGGACATGTGGCCATTGGCAAAATTTGCCGCTGGAAAGTTTTCGATGGGTCGTGCCTTTGATCAGCTCACCTTGGCTGCGGTGTCTGCCAGCCCCAACACCATCGCGGGATACGTCTTTGCACATCCTTCCATGGATGACTGAACATTGGGCAATGCAAACAGGACCGATCCACCAGGTGAGAAAGGTTTGGGTGTAAGGTTGCTCCAAGCTGCAGACACGAATGCGAGGTAGTCTTTACAGTAGTCTTCAAGGGCGGGACTTGATGGCCACGCGAAACCCCGAAGCCAAGCCCCTAGACTCTCATCATCTCACATCTCAAGAGTTGAGCCCTCAACCCTACATCATCATGCTATTATGATTGTAGGTATTCCCATGAAGTAGCGTGCGTATCACCGTTCGTATGGTTCTGACAATGATCTGCATCACTAAGAGGTTATTGATGTGCATACTCTTTTGTTGCTCAAGGCAAGACTTTGGAAGTCTCGAAATCAAACCGAAGTTTTCAGTTGCCGTTGTGCCCATGGCGACTAACGCTCCGCTCCTGGGCAAGGCCGTCCACAGCAAGGCATCGATGTTCTACGGAGCAGATGAGTATCTCGAGGAGCTGAAGAAGAAGTACCTTCACGATCACGAAATTGCTGCCCTCAAGAATGCTCTGCCGGGCGAGGGGGACCCTAACGCGGCAGGCGTTGCCCAGAGCAGCGACAAGATGCTCTCCGTTCAGAAGAACAACGAGTACAGGAGCCTGAAGACGAACCGGCTCTTCCCCACTCCGAACAAGCCAGACCCCATGCCTCAGAATCTGGCATTCTTGTTCACGAAGGTCACACCGGAGCTTTGGCTAAATCTGAGCTTTCCTTCTTGTTGTGTTTTTGTTTCTATCGGGGGCGGCTGTCGTTTTTCTAGACATGCGGGTGTGTTATCTTTTATTTTCTTGCTGAGTTGGTGAACTTCGGCATCCTGCTGTCTTTCGTTTGATTTTGTGTGGTGTGCTGTCCAAGAAAAGCTTTCGATCGGGAGAGCGACTAGGAGCAGAGTTCCACGGATGCGTGATTAGGAGCACAATTGGCAGCTAGGCTGTTGGCATCCTGCTGTCCTTCACTCTCTTTCTTTCTGTGATTAGGAGCAGATATACATGTGGAACGTGCTCACCGCAATCTTCGTGAGCCAAGTGCTGATGGTGATCGGCTACTGTGCGGCCTTGGCTTGCTTCCCAGACTACTGGTGGACTTGCACGCTTTGCTTCGGCCTCCCTTTCTCTTACATCGCCATCCAGAACATTTACATTGATCACGATGTGATGCATGGCGCCACTTTCCCCGTTTACGAGTGGCAGCGCTTCTTGACTCATCCGTTTGCGGACTTCTTCGGCATTTGGCTAGAGTGCGCAGAGCAGTGATCAACTGGAGGCTTGAGCACTCCAACTAGTCGCCGGCTGCACGGCGTGATTGCCTGAAAGGGATCCCGCCAATGCAAAGGTGAACCTGCGGACTTTTTCTCCCTCCCGTGGGAAGAATTCGTCCTGGAGCACAACAGGCATCACGCCTCCACAGTGGACTTGCTGATCCAGGGCGAGTTCGGCTGGGACCCCGAGGAGTTCCACTGTGCCCTGCAGCAGTGGGCTGGGCCATGGAGCTCCAACTGGTACAAGTACCTGCCAAGCTCTCATCAGCAACCACAGCAGCAAAGAATGTTCGTATCATACGAACATTTGTTGCTGCTGTGGTTGCTGATGAGAGCTTGGCTGATACCTTCCTACAGCTTCAGGCTGCCGTCGCTGGGGGACGGCGGGGACTCCGCCACATCGCCATCCAGAACGTGTACATTGATCACGATGTGATGCATGGCGCCACTTTCCCCGTTTACGAGTGGCAGCGCTTCTTGACTCATCCGTTTGCGGACTTCTTCGGCATTTGGCTAGAGTGTGCAGAGCAGTGCTCAACTGGAGGCTTGAGCACTCCAACGAGTCGCCGGCTGCACGGCGTGATTGCCTGAAAGGGATCCCGCCAATGCAAAGGTGAACCTGCGGACTTTTTCTCCCTCCCGTGGGAAGAATTCGTCCTGGAGCACAACAACAGGCATCACGCCTCCACAGTGGACTTGCTGATCCAGGGCGAGTTCGGCTGGGACCCCGACGAGTTCCACTATGCCCTGCAGCAGTGGGCTGGGCCATGGAGCTCCAACTGGTACAAGTACCTGCCAAGCTCTCATCAGCAACCAAGGCAGCAACGAATGTTTGCATCATACGAACATTCTTTGCTGCTGTGGTTGCTGATGAGAGCTTGGCTGATACCTTCCTACAGCTTCAGGCTGCAGTGGATGCAGGCGTCTTAGAACCTTTCAGTTCATCTCTCGATGTTTTCACCGTTCTGCTCCACTGTATCGTCTTCGCAGGACGAAAACTGGCAGGACTGTGTAGCAGCCACTGCGCAATCGTAGCTGTGCAGCGGGGTGTCTGATGTCAAGCTCCGCGGTGCAATGCGAATGTTCATGCCCCAGCTGGACCCCGAAACTGAGATTCGACGTTTTAGAGATCGTGGGTCCGTCCTGTAGCCTCAACCTGATCTTACACGTGTCCTGAAGCCAACAAACTCCACACCCATAAGTTCCAGCTCTGACGTCTCTTCGGCGGAGGCGACCACACGGCCTACCTACGCTCGAGCTCTGCAGAGGCCCTACGATGCGATGCCAGGCCTGGGTCACAACACAGGCTTCCCATACCGTGACCCTCTTTGTGCCCTCAAAACAGGGAAAATGGTCTCAAATTAAGAGTAAACGAGGCTGCTGGAGGGTCCAGGTATACTAGATGCTTGCTGAACACCCATACTACCGAAGACAAATCCCGAAATGCAGCAAATCTAAGTCCCCACCGCAAACCCTAAACCCGCGTGTCAGACCCCGAGGACGGCCCAAGACTTTCTGTCGTCCCGGATCCAGAGTGCTCCTCGACCGCAACTGTCTGGTTTTTAGTAGCAGACCTCTCAGACTATTGTGGTGTCTGTAGGGTTTCAGTTTTCGGCTGTGGGGCTGCATGTAGCTCAGCAAGAAGTCAGAAGGTAGTCCGGAGGACTGTGCGAGCCTTGAGAGTTCAGCTGTGCTTAGAAGCCTGGCCTAGTCTAATCCGGTCAAGAAGGCAGGCAAGAACTACATGGAACCCTCCGCCAGGCATCTGCGAGGCTGTCTAGGTCTCCACACCTCTACAAGGTAGAAAGAGAGTCAGAAAGAAAGGGTGTATATATATATATATATCGAAAGAAACGGCCATGTTCTCCTGGCTTTTGGCCTGCATCTTCTCGTGTGAGGAAGCTTTCTGCCAGCGGGCCGCTTGGGCGGTGACCGATCTGAAGAGGCAACTGGATGCCGCGCAGGCGGCCTCAGTTGGATCCGAACAGGGAAAATATGGGTTTTTTGTGTCTTTTTCACTTTGTAGACGTTTGTTGGTGTTGTGCTCCTGGTTATGGAACCTCTGGATAATAATTAAGTAATTCGTTGCGACTCTTTCCGCCTTTTCCGTCATCAGCTGGATTCGAGTCGCTTTTGACACCCGCGAGGCTGTCAGGTTGGTGCAGGCAACCCGGTGCTCGCGTTTAAGCCTTTTACCCAGCAGACTTTGCTTCTTTGATCAGGCGGATGGTGCCTCTTATCAGGATGCCTGGAACGGCGCCTGCCCCGACGTGATTCGTGCTTCAGAAGCCCACTGCTTCTATGTGCCTCAGCCAGTCCGAGGGGGCCGTCCGTCATCATGGGGTTTGGAGTTTGTGCGACTTGCTTTCGAAACATGGACAATCAGAAGATCCAGTTTTCATGCTTGCTTTGCCTGCCCCCTTTTATGTCGTCCCTCTCACTCCTGTTTTCTCAGTTCCGCAACGTTTCGCAAGAGCCTAGTAACTAGAGGTTTGGTCTGGCTTTCCGTCATACCTTGTATCTCAGGTCGAACATGTGCAGGAACTACCTTTTTGCTAAGCCCAGCACGCAGGATGCTCAAACCCTTATTAAACCCTATAAACCCTAAACCCTATAAACCCTAAACCCTATAAACCTTAAGCCCCTCAACCCTAAACACAGTTGGAAGCTGCAAGCTCAGGTTCTCGTGCGCAGCTTCTGGGCTGCCATCGAATACCTCCGGGCACGCGTGGCGCCAGCTCTTGCGGCGGCGTCCTGGACGAGAGGGGTTATGGGGTCAAAGGGTCTTAGAGATTTTGTGGAGGTCCCGTCACTGTCTTAGTACACTATTGGCAACTGTTCAACTTCAGGCTTAGCAGCAAAACTTCTGGACAATCTACCCGCTCGCAGACCTCGCAACGACGCAATCACCCCCTCCTGCCGTACGATCTCAAAGGGGCAGTTAGGGGCGACGGGTTCGCGAATGCGCTTCCAGGTTCTGGAGAACTGCTGCCATCTCTTCAGTTTGCTGCGTGGCTGCACGGGGCGTCTTGTTCAAGGCAGCTTTCGCGGTATGTGCAGGAAGTCGAGCGAGCCGTTCGTAAATAGTGGAAAGCCGCCTAGACCCAAAGACCTTAATTGACAGGATAGGAAATCAGTTGTCCCAGCAAAGCTGTACTGAATCGCACCGAGCATGTAGATAAGACAGGAGAAGTCAGCCTGAGGTGGTGGATGCAGGAGGGCATCGGCGACTTCCTGCAAAGCGGCTACCTGACTGCGCAGCAGGCGCAGCCGAGCCAAGAGATGATTAAGGGAGGTTGGCAGGGAGCTCCGGCTTATGGGACAGACGGACTGTGCAGATAGACATCGATAGATCGGGGCATTATGTCAAATGTGGTGGTATCGCCGCTGAACTGATGAGTCGTGGACTGTTGCCAATCACGAGTCCTCATGATGCCCTTCCCATCTCATCTGATTCCAGGGCAAATGCCTCCGCGGCATGCCACCATCACGTGGCTTGCACCCTGCGGAAACATACCCGACACCGTACTCTGCAGCTTTTTTCCAAACATCTAGTCTACTATCCAAACCTCCAGAGACCTTAGCCTTAACCTTCACATCTTTCAAGTCATCACTATGTTCTTGTAATATGTTGTGAAACATGCTACATATATTCGAACAACATATTGTACCCCCCCTCCCCTCATCTTTTCGGCAGGCCGGGCTTCTTCGCTCGGCGGTGCGCCGGCTGCTGCCGGCCAGAGCTTCAGAGAATGTAGTGTTATTATGTTGTCTAGTATAATTCATGATCTTAATATAGTATTCTGTACCATAATATTTATACTGTAGTATGCTATAACATACGATTATATAACAATAGCCCTAACCCGCCCTGAAGCTCCCACGCCTAACTGCTCATGCACGGAAGTCTGCTTCGTTCCAGGGTCGCTACGATGCACAGACAGCAACCCCGAACTCATCCGCACATCCTTGCAGCCTCGCGTGTCTCACCAGTTCGAGTCTAAACCCTGAACCTCGAGCTTTCCAACCCAAACAGCGAGGAGGAAAAAGGCGTTCAAAAAAAAAAAGAACCTCGAGCTTTCATACATCCCTTCCCACAACCAAAGTCCAAAACCGCAAGCTCCGAAGGCATAATCCCTAAACTTACCCAAGACCCAGCCCCCCCTTTTCACAACACAACGTGTAAAGCCGCGAGCTCTGGGGCCATCTTCCCTAAACCCCGGCCCAAGCCCCTGAACCCGAAACCCCTCCTCTTCAGGTGCTCCGTGCTGACGCGGTGCCGCTTGTCGACGCATGGGCCCACTCCGATCACTCCCTGCCCCTTGGGCTTGCCTGGGGTTTGGAGTTTAGCGGTTAGGGTATGACAGGGGCTGTAACGATTCGAAAAGGGTTTGGAGTTTAGGGTTTAGGGGGATATGGGGGAATATACGGGCCTGAATTATTAGAATAGTTTTTTTGTAGTATTTTATACTACAACGGGAAAAAGGAGCCCCGAAAACCCTATTCCAATTATTGAGGCCCCTGCATTGTAGGGTTCATTCAGGGTTTCGGGGAGCTTGCTTACGGTTTGAGGCTTTAGTTTGTCAATCCTCACGGCGGGAGTTGAAAAGGGCTTTCGGGGCTTCGGATATGGCTATGCGGGTACTTTAGAGGTTGGTAGCTGTCTTAAGCGCAACTGACACGGGCCACAGAGAGCATAGGCTTAGAGTTTCGCGCCTAGGGAGCTCAACTTGCTGGTTGCTGGCGCGAGACGACCGTTGTGCAGTCTTTGAGTTGTAGACCTCCAAGTTTTGCTGTAGAGTAAGCATTGCTCCCTCTGGCTGCTAGAGACCTTGACCTCACCAGCATATCCTCGCACTGTTTTCGGGAAGGGGAGTCACTTGTCATGGCAGTGTTTTATGATGACTGATTACACACGACTAGGACTACGACTATGATGAGATGTATTTCTCATGAAGCAAAGCGTTTCGATTTTCATATCAACATGTTTCTCGTTGCCCTTATAGTATCACGTTGGCGAGTTGCGGGTAGCTATGAGTAACCCAGACCGCAAACTCGAAAGGCCCCAAAGCCCGAGATCAAGCCCTACAGCCTCATACGCTTTGCTGTGGTAGCGAGGAACTCGGCACTCGGCCGGCATGACGGCCGTGTGCCTCCTGGCGGCACGAGTGTGGCTTCTGCAATTTCAGAATGCTCGGCGGCATACGCGGTCATTTCATGATGGAACACGTGACTACTTTACCCCTACACCACAAACCCCTTGACCGGCCTGACCCCTCAACTCCTGCACCCAAACCCCCGAGTCCGAAGCAAAACCTGAAATCGCCCATCTCTGAACACTAGCATGGATTCGCTCTAAGGTACGAGGCTCTGTGGGAGTCAGCACAGCCGAAGGTGAACCCCATGAACACCGAGGAGGTCGCTTTGGGACCAATCCTTTGCTTTCCTCAGACTCAGAAAATGGGGGTTCTAGACTACTTCGATGGGGTTTCTTGCTTCCCCTGAAAAGGGGTCCTGCGCAGGTCACGCCGGCATTCCAAGAGTCCATCTATCCCTGGAGACGGAGCAGGTTGTGAGCCTCCACCTGCTCGGGTCAGTCTTTAAAGAACCCCCCCACAGCAAATAATCTCCAAGACCCACAAAATGAGCTCTCATACCTAAGACCATGCCCAACACGCCCTGATACCTGTTTGCTGATTTGCCATTTTCGGCCTGCAATCTGGAACTCTGGAATTCTCTATGCTTGAACAAAAGGCCGGCAGAAGTATCAAACTCATACTATACAAGCTTGTAAGATGCTGAAGATGGTCAGCCTCTATACTCTATGGCCTTAGGAATCATGTTGGAAGTGCGGATGCACAGACAGTGACGTTCAGAAGTCCATCTGGAGCATCTCCTGGTTGAGGAATCAGGAGAGGCACTGAAGGGCTGCCACTGCATGGCAAAGCTTGCTGTCGGTTCGAAGGATCTGAATTCAACTTGCCATGGTGGGTAGAGAGAACAAGTGCATCTTGCGCCATCTGCACCATCCTTCCTAGACAGGAAGCCCAGCTTGTGCAGATCTGGCTACAGTTTTTCTCCCATCCCTGAGGGATGATGTCTCGAGGCGAGGGCACTTCTTGCCCTCCGCCCCACACAGCCCCGACATTCTCAACGGCTAGCAAGATGCCGAGGCAATAAAGGGGTCAGTCTAAATAATCAGGAAGGGCAAAAGGAGTCCTTTATATGCTCATTGTAGTTATAGCAGTTATAAACATATCCCCAAGTGAGATTCTAACTATGCAGGCCCTGGAAGGTCGGATGCTGGCGCCAGGGCTCTGCTGCCAGTCGCTCGGGGAGGAATTGAAGACGGAAGGGCTCAGCAGATCGAGGCAAAAGGGAGCATCTGAATTCAGACGTCCCTAGAGAGTCGTGGAGGCATCATTGCCCTGAGTGTTGGCTTCGGGACTTCTCAGCGCATTTAGAATTATTGGGGCTTTCAGAGTCTCTTCATGCTTCTTGCGGCTTCCAACTGGTGTGTATGTTCGGAGTCGCATAAATTCAAGCTTATCGCATCGGGGCTTCGCATTTTCGGCTGATGAGCGCTCGGCCGTGGAAGTCCTAAACCCCTGAGGCCTTACCCAGAGGCCCCAAAGTAGTTCCTTTTTGGCAGTACCTTATAATATTCTATATGTGAACCCCAAGAACGAACTACTTTGGGGCCATGGGTAAAGTGGTCTCAAACCCTACACCAGGCCGAACTTCAGGTCCTCAACGGCCTCAGTCCTTGGAGTTGAAGCCATCGCGACGAAGCAGACACAGCATTTCGATGTCTTTCTATTTCTTCATTGTTGCTGAGTAGCTAACCAACCAACTAATCAATCATGCATAGCGGGTTCAACGTCGTGCCGGAGAGATTGACAGCACAGCCAACTCGGAGGCAGTAGTTTTTGCAGCCCCCGTCTGCAGGACCTCAAGCCGGCCTCCGTCGCTGTCAACTTCAAAACGCCTTCGCAAGAGGCCTGCTTACTCGAGCCGTGGAAGCTTCTCTTCCTTTGAACATCTTGAACATGTTGGTGGCATGGCCTTCAAAAACGATGATTATGTATCTAGGACGCAAGACCTGAAGCTTCACCCTTTGCTGCTCCGGACAACGTGCACTTACAGGCGTGAAGATGCAGGAGAAGTACGAAGTGAAGGTGGGTTCGGTGATTTGAAGCCGACCTGTTCCAGCCGGTATATCCCTCGAAGTCTGTTGCAGAGCCCGGTCGGACCATTACGTCTGAAAGAGAGGAGCGCTAGGAGGGCGCACAACCTTGTTCGCCATGTGGATTCTGAGTTCTGAGTCATCATCATAATCATCATCGTCTTCTTCGATGCAGTATGAATCCTCAATGATTATCCGCAACCACCTTCACCATCATCACCACCACCATCATCATTGTCCTGAGCATCCTCATCTTCACCGTCAGCATCATCATTATCGTCATCAGCATCATCATCATGATCATCCTCATCAGGATCATCGGACAACATGAGACGCATCTGGACAGGGCATCCGGTGTCTGTTGGCTCAAGCGATCTCTGCTTCAAGTTGCGAAACATTCCCGGAGTAGGTCAAGACAAGTCACATAGTGCACAATGGACTTCTTCCGTGCCTGCTGCACCGTCGCTGAGAGCTCCAGTGCTTTCGAGATGTTGACCGAGGCTTCCCCTTCAGCTCCTGTGACCGTGGCCGAGGTCATCGAGGTCCAGGCCAAGTGGGCAGCCGCGATTGCCAATATCTCCAAGGTGCACAAGCAAGGCGGCGATTTCATCAAGGCTGCTGCTGAAGCCGCTGGCGAGCTGTACGCCTACGGCCATTCGAACGTGATGTTCAAGCCCACCAAAGCTGCAGAGTTCCGATTCCGCCCCACCGCCGAGGAGGCCATGTCCTACTTCGTCGGTGGCAACGTTGTTGAGGGTGGCTACAAGGAGGACGGCGGTTTCGCCATCAACGGTGGCAAGGGCTGGGCTTCTTGCGTGTACAACAACCACCAGGTGCAGCTGAAGGGTGGCGTCGGCCTTGCCATGGGCACCTACGACTTCACTTGTGCCACCACCGGCAGCGTGTCCACTGTCGAGTACACTTTCGGGTATTCTCGCTGCGGCGATGGTAAGGTGCGCATTTTCCTTCACCATTCTTCGGTCCCTTTTGCCGCGGCTCCTGCGAAGTCTTTGGCTGGAAAGTCTGCGCCCGTGACCGGGGCCGAGGTAATGGAGGTCCAGGCCAAGTGGGCAGCCGCGATTGCCAATATCTCCAAGGTGCACAAGCAAGGCGGCGATTTCATCAAGGCTGCTGCTGAAGCCGCTGGCGAGTTGTACGCCTACGGCCATTCGAACGTGATGTTCAAGCCCACCAAAGCTGCAGAGTACAGATTCCGCCCCACCGCTGAGGAGGCCATGTCCTACTTCGTGGGTGGCAATGCTGTTCAGGGTGGCTACAAGGAGGACGGCGGTTTCGCCATCAACGGTGGCAAGGGCTGGGCTTCTTGCGTGTACAACAACCACCAGGTGCAGCTGAAGGGTGGCGTCGGCCTTGCCATGGGCACCTACGACTTCACTTGTGCCACCACCGGCAGCGTGTCCACTGTCGAGTACACTTTCGGGTATTCTCGCTGCGGTGATGGTAAGGTGCGCATCTTCCTTCATCATTCTTCGGTTCCTTTTGCCGCAGCTCCTGCAACCAAGTCTGCACCTGTTCGGGAGGATGAGGTTCTGGAGGTACAAGCCAAGTGGGCGGGCGCGATTGCCAAAATCTCCAAGGTCCACCAGGAAGGCGGCGACTTCATCAAGGCTGCTGCTGAAGCCGCTGGCGAGCTGTACGCCTACGGCCACGGTGATGTGATGTTCAAGCCCACCAAAGCTGCAGAGTACCGATTCCGCCCCACCGCCGAGGAGGCCATGTCCTACTTCGTCGGTGGCAACGTTGTTGAGGGTGGCTACAAGGAGGACGGCGGTTTCGCCATCAACGGTGGCAAGGGCTGGGCTTCTTGCGTGTACAACAACCACCAGGTGCAGCTCAAGGGTGGCGTCGGCCTTGCCATGGGCACCTACGACTTCACTTGTGCCGCCACCGGCAGCGTGTCCACTGTCGAGTACACTTTCGGGTATGCTCGCTGCAGCGATGGTAAGGTGCGCATTTTCCTTCATCATTCCTCGGTTCCTTTTGCCGCAGCTCCTGCCACGAAGTCTGTGGCTGGAAAGCCTGCTGGGGCCGAGGTGAGCGCAAAATTGGCTGGCGCATGAAGGGAGCTGGTTGAGCGTTTTCTTTCTGTACGGCAAGGTCAAGGTACCTTGCTGGAGTATACAACCACCCCCGCCAATCTGTTAGCCAAATTTGTGTAAATGGATGTGCAATGCGCATCAGAATTTTTCCATGTGATTGAAGCAACCTTGGAGCGAGAGATCATAATTACCTAGCCCACCAGTGGCGGGTGTCTTTTATATTCTTTTATAGTGCAAGAGCAGATTTTTGTTTGGCCTGGTCCTGACGAGACGTTACATGGGCCTGTTGCTGCCGGAAGCTGGCAGTGATGAGGGGAGCATGTCACAACGTGCCTTGCAGACTCATAGGCTTGCAGTTGATTCCACGTTCGAGATGGCAGCGTTGTGACAGTCCCGAGACACATCTGCAAAGGCAAGAACTTGTGAGCAAAGTCTTTGCGCTGTTCGCTTTGCAGGATGTAGCTTGGGTCAGAGAGCCAGCACTCTTTGCTTGAGCCGTGGAAGCTTGTCTTCCTGATACAGTCTTGTTTGACCATCTTGGTGGCATGGCCTTCTAAAACCATGAAACCCACGTCTAAGACGCAAGACCCCAAGCTTCACCCTCCGCGCATTTGCAGGCGTGAAGATGAGGGAGAAGTGCGAAGTGAAGGTGGGTTCGGTGATTTGAAGCTTTGGCTGGGTTCTCTGCTCGGTTTATGTCAAGGGCGACTTCTTCCAGCCGGTATCCTTTGAAGTGTGTTGCAGGGCCCTGTCGGACCATTACGTCTGAAAGGGAGGAGCGCGACAAAGGCGCACAACCTTAGACGCAATGAGGATTCTGAGCCATCATCAAAATCATCATCTTCATCATCAAAATCACCATCTTCTTCTTCGCTGTCAGCGTGGGCGGGTGTGACTGCACAGTGATTATAAACGGCGTAGCAACCCTCTGCAGAACAACTAACTAATAACCTTCACCCACCACCACCACCACCACCACCACCACCACCACCACCACCACCACCACCACCACCACCACCACCACCACCACCACCACCACCACCACCACCACCACCACCACCACCACCATCAGCATCGTCTACTTCATCCTCATCATCATCGTCGTCAGCATCATCATGATCATCCTCGTAAGGATCATCGGAAAACATGAGACGCATCTGGACAGGGCATCCGGTGTCTGTTGGCTCAAGCGATCTCTGCTTCAAGTTGCGAAACATTCCGGGAGTAGGTCAAGACAAGTCACATAGTGCACAATGGACTTCTTCCGTGCCTGCTGCACCGTCGCTGAGAGCTCCAGTGCTTTCGAGATGTTGACCGAGGCTTCCCCTTCAGCTCCTGTGACCGTGGCCGAGGTCATCGAGGTCCAGGCCAAGTGGGCAGCCGCGATTGCAAATATCTCCAAGGTGCACAAGCAAGGCGGCGATTTCATCAAGGCTGCTGCTGAAGCCGCTGGCGAGCTGTACGCCTACGGCCATTCGAACGTGATGTTCAAGCCCACCAAAGCTGCAGAGTTCCGATTCCGCCCCACCGCCGAGGAGGCCATGTCCTACTTCGTCGGTGGCAACGTTGTTGAGGGTGGCTACAAGGAGGACGGCGGTTTCGCCATCAACGGTGGCAAGGGCTGGGCTTCTTGCGTGTACAACAACCACCAGGTGCAACTGAAGGGTGGCGTCGGCCTTGCCATGGGCACCTACGACTTCACTTGTGCCACCACCGGCAGCGTGTCCACTGTCGAGTACACTTTCGGGTATGCTCGCTGCAACGATGGCAAAGTGCGCATTTTCCTCCATCATTCCTCGGTTCCTTTTGCCGCGGCTCCTTCGAAGTCTGTGGCTGGAAAGTCTGCACCTGTGACTGGGGCCGAGGTCATGGAGGTCCAGGCCAAGTGGGCAGCCGCGATTGCAAATATCTCCATGGTGCACAAGCAAGGCGGCGATTTCATCAAGGCTGCTGCTGAAGCCGCTGGCGAGTTGTACGCCTACGGCCATTCGAACGTGATGTTCAAGCCCACCAAAGCTGCAGAGTACAGATTCCGCCCCACAGCCGAGGAGGCCATGTCCTACTTCGTGGGTGGCAATGTTGTTCAGGGTGGCTACAAGGAGGACGGCGGTTTCGCCATCAACGGTGGCAAGGGCTGGGCTTCTTGCGTGTACAACAACCATCAGGTGCAGCTGAAGGGTGGCGTCGGCCTTGCCATGGGCACCTACGACTTCACTTGTGCCACCACCGGCAGCGTGTCCACTGTCGAGTACACTTTCGGGTATGCTCGCTGCGGTGACGGTAAGGTGCGCATCTTCCTTCACCATTCTTCGGTTCCTTTTGCCGCAGCTCCTGCAACCAAGTCTGCACCTGTTCGGGAGGATGAGGTTCTGGAGGTACAAGCTAAGTGGGCGGGTGCGATTGCCAATATCTCCAAGGTGCACAAGCAAGGCGGCGATTTCATCAAGGCTGCTGCTGAAGCCGCTGGCGAGCTGTACGCCTACGGCCACGGTGATGTGATGTTCAAGCCCACCAAAGCTGCAGAGTACCGATTCCGCCCCACCGCCGAGGAGGCCATGTCCTACTTCGTTGGTGGCAACGTTGTTGAGGGTGGCTACAAGGAGGACGGCGGTTTCGCCATCAACGGTGGCAAGGGCTGGGCTTCTTGCGTGTACAACAACCACCAGGTGCAGCTCAAAGGTGGCGTCGGTCTTGCCATGGGCACCTACGACTTCACTTGTGCCGCCACCGGCAGCGTGTCCACTGTCGAGTACACTTTCGGGTATGTTCGCTGCAGCGATGGTAAGGTGCGCATTTTCCTTCATCATTCCTCGGTTCCTTTTGCCGCAGCTCCTGCCACGAAGTCTGTGGCTGGAAAGCCTGCTGGGGCCGAGGTGAGCGCAAAATTGGCTGGCGCATGAAGGGAGCTGGTTGAGCTTTTTCTTTCTGTACGGCAAGGTCAAGGTACCTTGCTGGAGTATACAACCACCCCCGCCAATCTGTTAGCCAAATTTGTGTAAATGGATGTGCAATGCGCATCAGAATTTTTCCATGTGATTGAAGCAACCTTGGAGCGAGAGATCATAATTACCTAGCCCACCAGTGGCGGGTGTCTTTTATATTCTTTTATGGTGCATGAGCAGATTTTTGTTTGGCCTGGTCCTGACGAGACGTTACATGGGCCTGTTGCTGCCTGAAGCTGGCAGTGATGAGGGGAGCATGTCACAACGTGCCTTGCAGACTCATAGGCTTGCAATGGATTCCATGTTCGAGATGGCAGCGTTATGACAGTCCCGAGACACATCTGCAAAGGCAAGAACTTGTGAGCAAAGTCTTTGCGCTGTTCGCTTTGCAGGATGTAGCTTGGGTCAGAGAGCCAGCACTCTTTGCTTGAGCCGTGGAAGCTTGTCTTCCTGATACAGTCTTGTTTGACCATCTTGGTGGCATGGCCTTCTAAAACCATGAAACCCACGTCTAAGACGCAAGACCCCAAGCTTCACCCTCCGCGCATTTGCAGGCGTGAAGATGAGGGAGAAGTGCGAAGTGAAGGTGGGTTCGGTGATTTGAAGCTTTGGCTGGGTTCTCTGCTCGGTTCATGTCAAGGGCGACTTCTTCCAGCCGCTATCCTTTGAAGTGTGTTGCAGGGCCCTGTCGGACCATTACGTCTGAAAGGGAGGAGCGCGAGGAGGGCGCACAGGGGGGTTTGCCATGAGGTTCCTCAGTTCTGCGTCATCACCATAATCATCATCTTCTTCGCTGCAGTGCGATTCCACAGTGATTATCAACGGCGTAGCAACCGTCTGCAGAACAACAACCTGCACTCACCGCCACCATCAGCATCGTCTTCTTCATCATCATCATCATCATCGAATCGTCAGCATCATCATCATCATCATCATGATAATCCTGATCAGGATCATCGGATAACATGAGACGCATCTGGACAGGGCATCCGGTGTCTGTTGGCTCAAGCGATCTCTGCTTCAAGTTGTGAAACATTCCGGGAGTAGGTCAAGACAAGTCACATAGTGCACAATGGACTTCTTCCGTGCCTGCTGCACCGTCGCTGAGAGCTCCAGTGCTTTCGAGATGTTGACCGAGGCTTCCCCTTCAGCTCCTGTGACCGTGGCCGAGGTCATCGAGGTCCAGGCCAAGTGGGCAGCCGCGATTGCAAATATCTCCAAGGTGCACAAGCAAGGCGGCGATTTCATCAAGGCTGCTGCTGAAGCCGCTGGCGAGTTGTACGCCTACGGCCATTCGAACGTGATGTTCAAGCCCACCAAAGCTGCAGAGTTCCGATTCCGCCCCACCGCCGAGGAGGCCATGTCCTACTTCGTCGGTGGCAACGTTGTTCAGGGTGGCTACAAGGAGGACGGCGGTTTCGCCATCAACGGTGGCAAGGGCTGGGCTTCTTGCGTGTACAACAACCACCAGGTGCAGCTGAAGGGTGGCGTCGGCCTTGCCATGGGCACCTACGACTTCACTTGTGCCACCACCGGCAGCGTGTCCACTGTCGAGTACACTTTCGGGTATGCTCGCTGCAGCGATGGCAAAGTGCGCATTTTCCTCCATCATTCCTCGGTTCCTTTTGCCGCGGCTCCTGCAACCAAGTCTGCACCTGTTCGGGAGGATGAGGTTCTGGAGGTACAAGCTAAGTGGGCGGGTGCGATTGCCAATATCTCCAAGGTGCACAAGCAAGGCGGCGATTTCATCAAGGCTGCTGCTGAAGCCGCTGGCGAGCTGTACGCCTACGGCCACGGTGATGTGATGTTCAAGCCCACCAAAGCTGCAGAGTACCGATTCCGCCCCACCGCCGAGGAGGCCATGTCCTACTTCGTTGGTGGCAACGTTGTTGAGGGTGGCTACAAGGAGGACGGCGGTTTCGCCATCAACGGTGGCAAGGGCTGGGCTTCTTGCGTGTACAACAACCACCAGGTGCAACTGAAGGGTGGCGTCGGCCTTGCCATGGGCACCTACGACTTCACTTGTGCCGCCACCGGCAGCGTGTCCACTGTCGAGTACACTTTCGGGTATGTTCGCTGCAGCGATGGTAAGGTGCGCATTTTCCTTCATCATTCCTCGGTTCCTTTTGCCGCAGCTCCTGCCACGAAGTCTGTGGCTGGAAAGCCTGCTGGGGCCGAGGTGAGCGCAAAATTGGCTGGCGCATGAAGGGAGCTGGTTGAGCTTTTTCTTTCTGTACGGCAAGGTCAAGGTACCTTGCTGGAGTATACAACCACCCCCGCCAATCTGTTTGCCAAATTTGTGTAAATGGATGTGCAATGCGCATCAGCATTTTTCCATGTGATTGAAGCAACCTTGGAGCGAGAGATCATAATTACCTAGCCCACCAGTGGCGGGTGTCTTTTATATTCTTTTATGGTGCACGAGCAGATTTTTGTTTGGCCTGGTCCTGACGAGACCTTACATGGGCCTGTTGCTGCCGGAAGCTGGCAGTGATGAGGGGAGCATGTCACAACGTGCCTTGCAGACTCATAGGCTTGCAATGGATTCCATGTTCGAGATGGCAGCGTTATGACAGTCCCGAGACACATCTGCAAAGGCAAGAACTTGTGAGCAAAGTCTTTGCGCTGTTCGCTTTGCAGGATGTAGCTTGGGTCAGAGAGCTAGCACTCTTTTCTTGAGCCGTGGAAGCTCTTCTTCCTGATACAGTCTTGTTTGACCATCTTGGTGGCATGGCCTTCTAAAACCATGAAACCCACGTCTAAGACGCAAGACCCCAAGCTTCACCCTCCGCGCATTTGCAGGCGTGAAGATGAGGGAGAAGTGCGAAGTGAAGGTGGGTTCGGTGATTTGAAGCTTTGGCTGGGTTCTCTGCTCGGTTCATGTCAAGGGCGACTTCTTCCAGCTGCTATCCTTTGAAGTGTGTTGCAGGGCCCTGTCGGACCATTACGTCTGAAAGGGAGGAGCGCGAGGAGGGCGCACAGAGGGGTTTGCCATGAGGTTCCTCAGTTCTGCGTCATCACCATAATCATCATCTTCTTCGCTGCAGTGCGATTCCACAGTGATTATCAACGGCGTAGCAACCGTCTGCAGAACAACAACCTTCACTCACCACCACCATCAGCATCGTCTTCTTCATCATCATCATCGAATCGTCAGCATCATCATCATCATCATCATCATAATGATCATCCTGATCAGGATCATCGGATAACATGAGACGCATCTGGACAGGGCATCCGGTGTCTGTTGGCTCAAGCGATCTCTGCTTCAAGTTGTGAAACATTCCGGGAGTAGGTCAAGACAAGTCACATAGTGCACAATGGACTTCTTCCGTGCCTGCTGCACCGTCGCTGAGAGCTCCAGTGCTTTCGAGATGTTGACCGAGGCTTCCCCTTCAGCTCCTGTGACCGTGGCCGAGGTCATCGAGGTCCAGGCCAAGTGGGCAGCCGCGATTGCCAATATCTCCAAGGTGCACAAGCAAGGCGGCGATTTCATCAAGGCTGCTGCTGAAGCCGCTGGCGAGTTGTACGCCTACGGCCATTCGAACGTGATGTTCAAGCCCACCAAAGCTGCAGAGTTCCGATTCCGCCCCACCGCCGAGGAGGCCATGTCCTACTTCGTCGGTGGCAACGTTGTTGAGGGTGGCTACAAGGAGGACGGCGGTTTCGCCATCAACGGTGGCAAGGGCTGGGCTTCTTGCGTGTACAACAACCACCAGGTGCAACTGAAGGGTGGCGTCGGCCTTGCCATGGGCACCTACGACTTCACTTGTGCCACCACCGGCAGCGTGTCCACTGTCGAGTACACTTTCGGGTATGCTCGCTGCAGCGATGGCAAAGTGCGCATTTTCCTCCATCATTCCTCGGTTCCTTTTGCCGCGGCTCCTTCGAAGTCTGTGGCTGGAAAGTCTGCACCTGTGACTGGGGCCGAGGTCATGGAGGTCCAGGCCAAGTGGGCAGCCGCGATTGCAAATATCTCCATGGTGCACAAGCAAGGCGGCGATTTCATCAAGGCTGCTGCTGAAGCCGCTGGCGAGTTGTACGCCTACGGCCATTCGAACGTGATGTTCAAGCCCACCAAAGCTGCAGAGTACAGATTCCGCCCCACAGCCGAGGAGGCCATGTCCTACTTCGTGGGTGGCAATGTTGTTCAGGGTGGCTACAAGGAGGACGGCGGTTTCGCCATCAACGGTGGCAAGGGCTGGGCTTCTTGCGTGTACAACAACCATCAGGTGCAGCTGAAGGGTGGCGTCGGCCTTGCCATGGGCACCTACGACTTCACTTGTGCCACCACCGGCAGCGTGTCCACTGTCGAGTACACTTTCGGGTATGCTCGCTGCGGTGACGGTAAGGTGCGCATCTTCCTTCACCATTCTTCGGTTCCTTTTGCCGCAGCTCCTGCAACCAAGTCTGCACCTGTTCGGGAGGATGAGGTTCTGGAGGTACAAGCTAAGTGGGCGGGTGCGATTGCCAATATCTCCAAGGTGCACAAGCAAGGCGGCGATTTCATCAAGGCTGCTGCTGAAGCCGCTGGCGAGCTGTACGCCTACGGCCACGGTGATGTGATGTTCAAGCCCACCAAAGCTGCAGAGTACCGATTCCGCCCCACCGCCGAGGAGGCCATGTCCTACTTCGTTGGTGGCAACGTTGTTGAGGGTGGCTACAAGGAGGACGGCGGTTTCGCCATCAACGGTGGCAAGGGCTGGGCTTCTTGCGTGTACAACAACCACCAGGTGCAGCTCAAAGGTGGCGTCGGTCTTGCCATGGGCACCTACGACTTCACTTGTGCCGCCACCGGCAGCGTGTCCACTGTCGAGTACACTTTCGGGTATGTTCGCTGCAGCGATGGTAAGGTGCGCATTTTCCTTCATCATTCCTCGGTTCCTTTTGCCGCAGCTCCTGCCACGAAGTCTGTGGCTGGAAAGCCTGCTGGGGCCGAGGTGAGCGCAAAATTGGCTGGCGCATGAAGGGAGCTGGTTGAGCTTTTTCTTTCTGTACGGCAAGGTCAAGGTACCTTGCTGGAGTATACAACCACCCCCGCCAATCTGTTTGCCAAATTTGTGTAAATGGATGTGCAATGCGCATCAGCATTTTTCCATGTGATTGAAGCAACCTTGGAGCGAGAGATCATAATTACCTAGCCCACCAGTGGCGGGTGTCTTTTATATTCTTTTATGGTGCACGAGCAGATTTTTGTTTGGCCTGGTCCTGACGAGACCTTACATGGGCCTGTTGCTGCCGGAAGCTGGCAGTGATGAGGGGAGCATGTCACAACGTGCCTTGCAGACTCATAGGCTTGCAATGGATTCCATGTTCGAGATGGCAGCGTTATGACAGTCCCGAGACACATCTGCAAAGGCAAGAACTTGTGAGCAAAGTCTTTGCGCTGTTCGCTTTGCAGGATGTAGCTTGGGTCAGAGAGCTAGCACTCTTTTCTTGAGCCGTGGAAGCTCTTCTTCCTGATACAGTCTTGTTTGACCATCTTGGTGGCATGGCCTTCTAAAACCATGAAACCCACGTCTAAGACGCAAGACCCCAAGCTTCACCCTCCGCGCATTTGCAGGCGTGAAGATGAGGGAGAAGTGCGAAGTGAAGGTGGGTTCGGTGATTTGAAGCTTTGGCTGGGTTCTCTGCTCGGTTCATGTCAAGGGCGACTTCTTCCAGCCGCTATCCTTTGAAGTGTGTTGCAGGGCCCTGTCGGACCATTACGTCTGAAAGGGAGGAGCGCGAGGAGGGCGCACAGAGGGGTTTGCCATGAGGTTCCTCAGTTCTGCGTCATCACCATAATCATCATCTTCTTCGCTGCAGTGCGATTCCACAGTGATTATCAACGGCGTAGCAACCGTCTGCAGAACAACAACCTTCACTCACCACCACCATCAGCATCGTCTTCTTCATCATCATCATCATCATCGAATCGTCGGCATCATCATCATCATCATCATGATAATCCTGATCAGGATCATCGGATAACATGAGACGCATCTGGACAGGGCATCCGGTGTCTGTTGGCTCAAGCGATCTCTGCTTCAAGTTGTGAAACATTCCGGGAGTAGGTCAAGACAAGTCACATAGTGCACAATGGACTTCTTCCGTGCCTGCTGCACCGTCGCTGAGAGCTCCAGTGCTTTCGAGATGTTGACCGAGGCTTCCCCTTCAGCTCCTGTGACCGTGGCCGAGGTCATCGAGGTCCAGGCCAAGTGGGCAGCCGCGATTGCAAATATCTCCAAGGTGCACAAGCAAGGCGGCGATTTCATCAAGGCTGCTGCTGAAGCCGCTGGCGAGCTGTACGCCTACGGCCATTCGAACGTGATGTTCAAGCCCACCAAAGCTGCAGAGTTCCGATTCCGCCCCACCGCCGAGGAGGCCATGTCCTACTTCGTCGGTGGCAACGTTGTTGAGGGTGGCTACAAGGAGGACGGCGGTTTCGCCATCAACGGTGGCAAGGGCTGGGCTTCTTGCGTGTACAACAACCACCAGGTGCAACTGAAGGGTGGCGTCGGCCTTGCCATGGGCACCTACGACTTCACTTGTGCCACCACCGGCAGCGTGTCCACTGTCGAGTACACTTTCGGGTATGCTCGCTGCAGCGATGGCAAAGTGCGCATTTTCCTCCATCATTCCTCGGTTCCTTTTGCCGCGGCTCCTTCGAAGTCTGTGGCTGGAAAGTCTGCACCTGTGACTGGGGCCGAGGTCATGGAGGTCCAGGCCAAGTGGGCAGCCGCGATTGCAAATATCTCCATGGTGCACAAGCAAGGCGGCGATTTCATCAAGGCTGCTGCTGAAGCCGCTGGCGAGTTGTACGCCTACGGCCATTCGAACGTGATGTTCAAGCCCACCAAAGCTGCAGAGTACAGATTCCGCCCCACCGCCGAGGAGGCCATGTCCTACTTCGTGGGTGGCAATGTTGTTCAGGGTGGCTACAAGGAGGACGGCGGTTTCGCCATCAACGGTGGCAAGGGCTGGGCTTCTTGCATGTACAACAACCATCAGGTGCAGCTGAAGGGTGGCGTCGGCCTTGCCATGGGCACCTACGACTTCACTTGTGCCACCACCGGCAGCGTGTCCACTGTCGAGTACACTTTCGGGTATGCTCGCTGCGGTGACGGTAAGGTGCGCATCTTCCTTCACCATTCTTCGGTTCCTTTTGCCGCAGCTCCTGCAACCAAGTCTGCACCTGTTCGGGAGGATGAGGTTCTGGAGGTA